ATCTGCACACATGTACAGGCAATGACAGCTACATCCCACCTGTCACTGACTGATTGTAAGATGCATCTTGATTTCAGAGAGGTTAAGACACAGGCCTTAGGATTGAAGAAATATTGTATTTTGATATTTCATAAAGCTGGATGCCTTTAAGGAAGTGATGGGTCAACATACTTCTATTAGATCTTCATCCGAATATATTCTTAAAAATCATTTGTAAGAAATACAAGTTCTCTGCTACAAAGGAATACATTTCATTTGTACAATATTTGGGGCAAACCCTAGGAAAATATGAAGAAAGAAAAAAACCCTGCCTATTCTCTCTTTCTCTGAGAAATACTGCTATTAGTCTTTTACTCTGATTTTGTTTCTCGGTTATTTTTTCTAGACATACATGTTTTAGTTTAATTCTTCTATCTTTAGAATTCCTGTCAAAAGTAATATATATTCAATTTTGAAGTTACAGTTTTTGCAATAGAAAGTGAAAGCTGTCTGCTTCTTCCCCTCCCCCTTGCTCCTGCCCCATTAACCCATCAGGTAATTTTGTTCTATGCCTGTATCAACGTTTATTACTATCATTTTATTGTCATTATATTTCATTGTCATGGGATCATATTAACATTTTATAATTTGTTTTTCAAATTAGAAACAGGTCTATTGTATACATAAGGAGATCTAATGATGTCATTTTATTTTTTCCTTAATTAAAATGTTTGTTCGTAAAAATGGAATACCTGCATATGGTAATAAATAGTAAAGTAGTACAGAAGATTAGGTTGAAAAATTGACAGTACCTTTTCCTGCCTTTCTTCACGCCCCAGAGTTTCTATCTTTAGTTCCTTTGGTAACTCCAGATAATACAAATATGCTTTTAGTGTTTACTTAATTTTGCAGAACAGTGTGGCTCTTCTGTGAGAACTTCCAGGTTTGCCCAGATTCTGTTAGAAGGTAGCTGGCATTTGTAGCTTTGGTTTTCCATCTCCGTCCCCTATGCACTTTTGTTTATAAGTGTCGCATCTGCACATCAGACCAGCACATGGTCCCTGCTCCATTATTGAATTTCCAGACCTTTGAATGCCAGACCTTTTTTCCTGTTCCTTGATTCCTTTCATCAGTGAATCCAGGAATTTACCCCCTCACCTCTTGCCACTGTGTAGCATGCCTTTGTTATAATATTGATATGATGGTAGTAGATAAATTCTCTTTCAAAACTCCTAAGAGACAGATGTATGGGATGTTAGTACTACATACTAACTTACATGCTAAGAATAGAGAAATACGGAGATAATTCTATTAAAATGTTAGTGTGATTTTAGAAAAGATCTAAAAATTTCAAGTTACTGTTTATATATTTTGCCTGTATTTTGTACAGGGTATAGATTTAAATGGGATCAAAATTCATAATCCTAATATGCTCCTATAAAAGAACTAACTTATGATTCTTTGTCTTTTTTAATTTTTTAAATTTTTAAAAATTTTTTATTTTTTTTGTCTTTTTAAATTTCAAATACACACCATAAGTTACGTATTTTTATCGCCCCAGTAGCAAATTAAAATAGTCCTTAAGCTTGTCTAGACGTGGGAATGCAAACTAAGAAAAACAAAGTTACTGTATATTTTTGTACATATTATTTTTTCCCCCTTAATGTGAGATTAAAATGTTTGGATCTTTAGATGTGGAATTCCCACTCGTATTACAAAAATTGAACGCAAATCATACGGTAAAGATACATATTGTGTTTCAGTTTGAGATTTAATTGTGCATCTCTTCTGTAGTGTATTCATTTGTATGTTTAAACCTCCACTCAAGTAGGGGCCAGGAACACAGGATCTCAGCTTTTAAATTAGTGGAAATGGCATGTTAGCATTGCTGGAACATTCTTACCACTACTTCCCTCCCCACCCTACCCCTGGTTTCTTTAGGATGTAATAGTAGCATTGTTCCTCATCAAGAATCAGGTTCTTAGCGGTACCTGGGTTCTTAGTCAGTTAGGGGGCCAACTCTTGATTTTGGCTTAGGTCATGATCTCAGGGATCGAGCTTCACGTTGGGCTCCACGCTTAGCAGGGAGTTTGCTTGAGGATTTTCTCTCTCTCCCTCTGCCCCTCCTCCTGTTCATGCTCTCATGTACTCTCTCTAAAATAAATAAATAAATCTTATTTATTCAGAGGTAACTTTTCAGAAGATTGAACTGAATTCTAAAATGAAAATAAGTGGCAGGAAAACTTGAGCGCAGTTAAAAATTGGATACCTCTTTAGGGTAAATCCCCAGCAGTGCAATTGCTGGGTCATAGGGCAGCTCTATTTTTAACTCTTTGAGGAACCTCCACACAGTTTTCCAGAGTGGCTGTACCAGTTCACATCATTCCCACCCACAGTGCAAGAGGGTTCCTCTTTCTCCATATCCTCTCCAACATTTGTTGTTTCCTGTCTTGTTAATTTGCACCATTCTCACTGGTGTGAGGTGGTATCTCATTGTGATTTTGATTTGTATTTCCCTGATGGCAAGTGATGTGGAGCATTTTCTCAGTGCTTGTTGGCCATGACTGTGTCTTCCTCTGTGAGCTGGAACACCTGCACCCCAATGTTTCTAGCAGCAATGTCCACAATAGCCAAACTGTGGAAGGAGCCTCAGTGTCCATCAAAATGAATGGATAAAGAAGATGTGGTTTATGTATACAATGGAATATTACTCAGCCATTAGAAACCACAAATACCCATCATTTGCTTCGACGGATGGAACTGGAGGATATTATGCTGAGTGAAATAAGTCAATCAGAGAAAGACAAACATTATATGGTCTCATTCATTTGGGGAATATAAAATATAGTGAAAGGGAATAAAGGGGAAAGGAGAGAAAATGAGTGAAAATATCAGTGAGGAAGACAGAACATGAGAGACTCCTAACTCTGGAAAATGAACAAGGGGTGGTGGAAAGGGAGGTGGGCGGGGGGGGTTTGGGGTGACGAGGTGATGGGCACTGAGGGGGGCACTTGACCCAGGTGAGCAGTGGATGATATGCTATATGTTGGTAAATTGAACTCCAATAAAAAAAAAAAAAGAACATGGGGCTGAAAAAAAATTGGATACCTCTTTGTCTAATTATTTTTTCTAAAAGTCTAAAAAAAAATTTCACTTTACTAATAAGTAAAGGGTTCTTTTGCCTGCCAGATTTATCTCTGGCCTTTGTTTCTTGGATTTGGGTTTAAAATTTGATGAGTATTGTCTTGTATCTCTCTTTGACTCAGAATATTCTTGTTGATTTGTGAGTCTATCTACATTTGCTTTCCACTCCACATTGTGTGGTCTTCCTTGCCTATGAGTTCAGCCTCAGATCCATCATTGATAGAATGCATCTAGCAGTAACTCATTAACTGGGAGCTAATGATTGACATTCTAACAAAGATACAAACCTCATTCAAATAAATGTGCTTCTTTTCACACATCACCTGGGAAGGCTGGATAAATATTTTTATAATGTTTGGCTCAGAACTTGCAACTGCATTTTTACAGTGAGGGGCTGGTTTCTCTCTTCCTTTCTTACTAGATAAAATACACCTTTCCAGCACCAAATTCATAGATTTCCTGCCATCTAGCCTGCTGTTAACCTCAGTGTTTTTAAGGGAACATTTGAGTACATTAACCTTAAAAATAAAAGTCATTTGTTTTACCAGCAAAAATAGTTTTATTTGGTAATAACAGAATTACAGTTCAGGACAAGCAAGCTATGATAAAACCATAGGCAAGTCCAATAGAGGACAAGAATGTTATTTTATGGAGAAGAACAAGGAAGTTGAGAGGGATTGTTTTGAACAAAAGTCCAGTGGTGTAAAGAGTTCAGAGTGATAAGGATTTCTCATTGGCTGAGTTGCTGGGATGGTCCATTTCTTGTAAGGGATGCATGTACATTTCAGTATTGGCACGTAATTGAGGATTCTTTCCTGTTAAGGATTCTTCTATAAGGGGTCTGTAATTGGCATTGGGTAGTATGTCTCCGCCTTCCAGCCTCCCCTCCTGGCATCCTGAGTCCCCTTTAGTTGGATTTCTCTTTATTGATTTTCCCAAGAATTTGTAAGCTTCAATTATTAATAATGGTCCTAGATAGGTAGTTTAAAATATAAGTCAGAGACTCAGTTTCAAGCATGGTTTGCTTCAATCCCTCAAAAACCATTCTGGTTCAGTTGTTAGAGCTCACATTTTTACCATGTGCTTTTTCTGCTTTGGTGTTAGTTAGCCCAGGTACCTGAATAGCTCTAGACTTTGTAAAAACAGTCTATTGATCAGACTGAAGAGATTAACCTAAAGTTTTTTTTAAATTTTATTTATTTATTTATTTATTTATTTATTTATTTATTTATTTATGATAGTCACACACAGAGAGAGAGGAAGAGACACAGGCAGAGGGAGAAGCAGGCCCCATGCACCGGGAGCCCGATGTGGGATTTGATCCCGGGTCTCCAGGATCGTGCCCTGGGCCAATGGCAGGTGCCAAACCGCTGCGCCACCCAGGGATTCCTTAGCCTAAAGTTTTAAGATCAAATCGATCTTATTGTATACATTTAGAAAGAATATGACAGGTTGGCATTATTTAAGGGTAAAATCTTCATAGAGTGGTATCCCTATGCTGTTCATCCCACCTTTTGTGATGATGTTTTTGGTTCATTATTTTTCCAAATAATTTTTAAGCTGATTGTTAATATCTTATTTTAGAATGATTTTTTTTTTCTTAAGTTTTTATTTTGATCACCTGGTGCTCATCGAGTCAAGTACAGTCCTTAATCCCCATCCCCTCTTTCACCCATTTCCCCACCCTTTCTGCTCTGGTAACCATCAGTTCTTTATAGTATAGATTCTGTTTCTTGGTTTGTCTCTTTTTTTCCCTTTGCTTGTTTGTTTCTTAAATTCTGCATATGAGTGCTATTATATGGTATTTGTCTTTCTCTAACTTATTTCACGTAGTGTTACACTCTCTAGTTCTATCCATGCCCTTGCAAATGGCTAGAAAAAATATAGAACACTTCACAAATGTGTGTGTCATCCTTGTGCAGGGGCTGTGCTAATCTCTGTATCATTCCAATTTTATTTATTTATCCTTTTTAGAGAGAGCCTACGTGTGTGGTGAGGGAGAGGAAGAGAGAGAATCATAAGCAGGCTCCATGCCCAGCATGAACCTGACTTGGGGCTTGATCTCATGATCCTGAGATCATTACCTGAGCCACGATCAAGAGTTGATGCTTAACTGACTGAGCCACCCAGGTGCCCCAATATCATTCCAGTTTTAGTATACGTGCTGCTGAAGTGAGCATGAATATTTTCATTACTTTAAAAAGAAACCCTGTACCGATAGCAGTCATTCCCTGTATCCTTCTCCCCAGCCCTTGTAATCACTAATCTATATTCTGTCTATATGGACATCATCTATTCTGGACATTTCATAGCAATGGAATCATATAATATGCAGGTTTTTCTTTCACTTAGCATAATGTTTTCAAGGTTCATCCATGTTGTGTTATATATTAGCATTCCGTTCCTTTTTATTGCTGAATAATATTCCACTGTATGGGTATACCATATTTTGTTAGTTCATCATCAGTTGATAGACATTTGAGCTATTTCACTTTTGGACTGTTGTAAATAATGCTCCTGATAACAATTCATGTACAAGCTTTTATGTAGACCTGTGTTTTCAGGTCTCTTGAGAATATACCTAAGTGGAGAATTGCTGGGTCAAATGCTACTCTGTGTTCAACATTTGGATGAACTGCCAAACTGTTTTTCAGAGTGGCTGAACCATTTTATAGTCCTACCAGTAAAGTCTAAGTGTTCTGATTTCTCCACATTCTCACCAGTACTTGATATTGTTATAGTTATCTTAATCATCCTAATGGGTGAGAAGTAGTATCTAACTGTGGTTTTGATCTATGTTTCTCTGATAACTAATGATGTTGAGCATCTTTTCATGTACTTACCATTTGTATGTTTTCTTTTGAGAAAATTCTCTTTAAATCCTTTGCCCATTTTTAAATTGATTGCCTTTTCACTACTAATTTTTAGGAGTTTTAAAAACATTTTTATTGAAGTATACGATGTTATATTAGTTCCCGGCATACAGTAATTCAGTAATTCTGTACATTACTCATTGCTCACCATGACAAGTGGAGTCACCATTTGTCACCACACACCATTATTAGAATATTATTGACTATATTCTCTCCTGTACTTTTTTTTCTCTCTCCTGTACTTTTTTTTTTAATATTTTATTTATTTATTCATGAGAGACACAGAGAGAGAGAGGCAGAGACACAGGCAGAGGGAGAAACAGGCTCCACGCAGGGAGCCCGACGTGGGACTCGATCCTGGGACTCGATCCTGGGACTCGATCCTGGGACTCCAGGATCATGCTCTGGGCCGAAGGCAGGCACTAAACCGCTGAGCCACCCAGGGATCCCTCTCTCCTGTACTTTTAATTTCTGTGCTTATTTATAACCAGAGTTTCATACCTCTTAATCCCCTTTATCTTTAAAAAAAATTTCCTTTACCTATAAGTAGATATAAAGATGTCTATATCTTATATCTCTATGGATAAAAAAGGATTGTAGGACTTTTTAATATATTCTGTATACAAATCCCTTATCAGATATTTTCCAATGGTTTTGAAGTATTCTGTGGATTGTCTTTTACTTTATAGTAGCCTCTGAAACACAAAGCTTTTTAATTTTGATCAAGTACAATTTGTATATAACTTCTTTTGTCACTTACCCTTTTGGCATCATATCTAAGTCACCATTACCAAACCCAAGGTCATAAAGACTCCTATATATTCTTTCTATGAGAGTTCTATAATTTCAACTCTTGCATTAACTTTCCATGACCCATTTTGAAGTAATTATTGTGTATAGTGTGAGGTAAGGCTTCAACTTTGTTCTTTTGTATGTGGACATTCAGTTGTCCCAGCACCATTTGTTGAAAAGACTATTCTCTCATTAAGTTATTGTGCGCTTTTGTACTCAATCAGGTGGTATAAATATAAGAGTTTATTTATGAATTTCCGATTCTATTTTATTGACCTAATTATGTCAGCCTTACACTGTTCCCATGTCATCTTGTTACCATAGTTTGATTTTAAGTTTTGAAATTGGTGTGAATCTCCAGCTGTGTTCTTTTTTTTTTTCAAGATTGTTTTGGCTTCTGGGTCCCCGAGTGTCCACACAAATTTTAGGATCAGCATGTCAATTTATGCAAGAAGAAAAAAAAAAACCCAGCTGGAATTTTGAAAGGGAATGCATTGGGTAGATGCCATCGTATTTTAAATATTATACCGAGTCTTTGCTATTGATTGCATTCAACTCCTGGGACAGGCCTCAGTTGTTGGGAGTATGCATTGAAGATTTGTGTCTTGGCGGATAAATCAGTGCACATCTGAAACTAGATTATTTGGAGAAACACTGAACTGGTACAATCTACATATTGAAGTCTTTCCTTGGTTTTGTTATTAAAATATGTATATATGGCATCCTCTGGTCAGCATATTTGCTTTGCAGGTTTTTTCAGAACTCTTTCCACCAGTGTCTTGAGATCAGTGAAAAATGTGATAATATGAAGACAAGCAGAATCTGTGAGAACCCTGGTTCTTCAGCATCTTAGCTGTGTATTAGAATGGCATTGGTAGTTTTATCAGAGAGTATATGGTGGTGTGGCTGCCTTTTATTTTTTTTCTCCCCACACCTATCTTGAGGAAGGAATTGTCTTAGAAAGCAGGAAAGCACTTTGTAAGAAATTTAGGTGGTTTTTTTTGGTAGGGTCAGTCCAACATTGTTCTCTTGCTTTGCCTACGGCATTATGCTAGCCCCCGCAGGGGGCTCACATTAGAATAAAACCTCCTTGGACTATGTCTTTTTTTTCCCCCTCCTTGGACTATTTCAGCAGCCTCTAGATAGATGCCTCCTTTCTGCTTCTTCCCATCCCTTCTCATTTTCTATTCTAGTGCCAGAGTTTCTAGCTTCCTCAAAAAGCCAGTCTGATTAGGTTTGGCTCCTCATTGCCCATAGGGTAAAGTTCAAATTCCTGAGCAATTGCAGGTGAGACTTTTTCTAGTCTAGCCCTAGCTCTTTCTCTCTCTCCTAAAGCAAACATCCCATAGAAGCACACCCTTGGCCTTGAATGCATCTGCCTCTTCAGCATATCCTTGTCCATGTTCCTTGTCCACATAGAATGACCTCCCCCAGCACTCCCTGCTTGGCAGGGGCTGGTTCCCCTTTCTCATCTTCCTATGGAGGGGTCCACACAACTTTTTTGTATTCTGCATGTCTTTGTCTTTGCTGCTGCCAAAGATGAGAGGCAGAGACTCCATCACTTCTCTCTCTCCAGTGGCACAGGCCCTGACCAAAGCAGTTCTTAAATGTTATTTTAAACAAATGAGGTAGAGATCTGCTCAGAGGACTTGATAATCTCACAAGCTGGGAAGACGTTCAAAGGGCTGACAATCCCTAATATGTCCCTGGATGGGAAACTGTGTGTTATGTAGCTAAATTCTGCAGTTTCTCTGGACCAGATATGGTACAAATATAAATCTCTCCGGTTTTACTCAGCCACAGGGCTTAGTGATCAGTACACTTTCTAGATGCACTGTGTTGTTTTCTCTAGCTGTCCTGTATTTAGTAAAGCTTCAGGCAGAGTATCTGTGAATAGGGGGCTGATGTGTGACACAGGACAAAATAGGCATCAATTAGTGATGAAAACAAGAAAGTGGACTGTTCTATATCATACCCTCGTTGAATCCTATCAGATTTTATTTAAAGATTTTATTTATTTATTCATGAGAAACACAGAGAGAAAGGCAGAGAGGCAGGCAGAGGGAGAAGCAGGTTCCCAGGATCCTGGGACCATGCCCTGAGCCAAAGGCAGATGCTCAACCATTGAGCCACCCAAGTGCCCCATTTAATGTGTGTTTTAAAATAGAGGCATCTTACGATGGTTAACAATGAAAATTGTACTGGTGGCTAACTCAGGTTTTGTCCAAAGACATCTTTCCTTCATCTTTATTCTTAAAAGGTACTTTTTGCTGGGTAGAGAATTCTAGGTTAGTGGTTATTTTCTTGAAGATGATCTGTTGTCTTCTGACTTGGCCTGTTGCTTTTGAGAAGTCCATCGTCAGTACTCAGAAATGAGTTGTCATTCCTTTTTCTGTGGCCATCTGTTAAGATTTTTCTTTTTGTCTTTCCTTCCTTGCAGTGTCACTGTGATATACCCTGATGTGTGTTCCCTTTATTTATTCTGCTTGGACTTTCTGAATTTATGGGTTGATGTTTCTCACCACTTCTTGAAAATTTCCCAGCCAGGGTCTTTTTCATTGTTGCCCCATCCTCTCTTATTCTCCTCTCTCTGAGACTCCAGGTAAACTTAATGTGGAGTTTCTCACTCTGTTTATTTTGCTTTTTCTAATTTTCTAAGGTATAAAGTTAGATTTTTCATGTGCAGCTTTTCCAATAAAAATTTGTGTAAATAACATTTTATGGATAACAGTCGTGACCTCTGGTTATTTATTTTAAAAGGTGCAAATTTGTTTTTTTGGTTTGTGTGTATTTTATCACAAGAAGCTAGCTAATGGAGATTTGTTTTTTTTAGAATACCTGTGCCAGTTTTTCCTATTACTTTAATTCTGTTTTATTTGGTCTGGTTGGACTCATAGCCTATTAAATAGCTTGAGTTGAAAATTTTAAGCCATATTGGTTAGGACACTCTTTGGACATTGATGCACACAACCAGAAAGATACTTTAAACATTCTGTTACTGTTTTCCTTAGTGATTTAGGTTTGTTAGTGATTTTTGAGAAACTGTAGAAGTGCAGCTTAGAGTTAGTGGATATTTATTTGTAAGAAATCAATGTGGTTATCTGGTGGTGGGTCCTCTTCCCACTTTCACAGTATGAGGTATGAAGTCCCAGCAAGTGACTACATTTCAATTTTCAGATATGACTCCACTGTGCCCTTTACATTAGAAAATTATAGAAAAGATATCTAAATTTCTTTCTCAGTACTGTGTTAGCTGAATTCCACAGAGTTTGCTATGTTAATTTAAAATTTTTCTTTTAGTTTTAAGTATTCTC